AGTGGTCCTGAAGAAAGGCTTGGACACACCTAATCTTAGAGAGTGCACAGCTGGTCCAGACCTTTGTTACATGATTCATCTAAAGGATGTCACTAGGACCAGACGGTTTTGTGTTCCCATAAACTGTTTTAGAAATAACAAAGGAGTGTCAGGCAAGTGTTTCAGCAATCCCACCTATGTCTGGATCTAAATAATACTGAGATTAAAAAAAGTAACTCGGAAAGGCAGAACCATAAATAGGCAACACAAAATCAGAACACAGACACAAAATAACCCACTTTTTATTTCAATAAAGAAATCAATCTCAATCTTAGCAGAAATAGGAGTCACACATAGTACCTGGCCATAAAAAACTGTATGTGCAGCACCAGAAAATAACATATTATAAAAATAAACTTTTTGAAAAAAACTTTTAAAGTGTTGTCTCTCTTGAGAAGAATTCAGAACTTATTTTCATGCCTACATTTTCTATACAGTAGAGCAATTCAAAATACTCGTATTCTGGAGGAACATGAAGTACATACACTGTTTAACATCAGTGCATTTGATATAATAATATAGTAACAATATACATCTTGCATAGGTTTATGGACATTGTGAAAGGCTAAGAGTGAAATCATATGATCCACTTTCCAAAGTTACAGATTTTCACATCAAGTAGCACCAGTCTCTAGTGACAGAGCTGCAGATTGTCTTGAACAGTTCCATCTCCCGAAATTCCTAATCCAGTCTAATAATTTTTATGCAGGATACACAAAGGTTTAAACATGATAAAATGTCCAAACTAAACCACATTTATTCACTTTTCCCAATCTGTTCACTGAAGACCAAAACTTTTAAAAACATTTTATGTCAGAGACTGTTAATACCTACTCCTCAGAAACCCTTGGTTGATCCGCAGTCTAGGGCAGCAGATCTGATCTAAGATCTAAATCTGTCCTTTGAGAAACAGGAAGGCTGGTCCATCCTGTTCCATAGGGAAAATGACTACGTGGCCACAGCCCCTGCTGGGAAAGGCTCGTGTGGAGCAGAGCTTGTGTTTTTGCAGCTTCTAACCCTTTAGGATCCAGGTACGTGGTATGGTCATGAGTAGGACAGTATACAGGAAACAAAACAGATAAAGGAATGGAGCTCTGGAGAAGGAACCTGAAGGCCAGAGGGCTTCTTAGAAATAACTGGGAAATTTCCTGCAGATAGAAGAGCGATGGGAGACCAGCAAAGGTCAGCTCATCTGCACTGGACCGGGCCAACAACCTGCTCGGAAGGGAAACTGGAGCTTTGTTGGACTGGGCCAGTATTTCTAAAGATGGCAGAGACACTCTACGGACATTACGTCTCTATTCTGAGGCAGTGCAAGGGAGCCAGTGCTATGGCCACGTGTGGAAACAGGATCAATTTTTTATATAAGGGAAAGTGTGATGGTGAAATTAAAAAGAAATCTTAAGAGCTGTGAGATTACATGAATTTATCTGTACATGCCAGCAATATTTATTTCAATATATGCCTCTACATATACAGACACCCAAAACACATTCCAATGACATTAAGAAGGATCATGCACATCCATAAAGAGTCAGAGTGTCCTGCTGGCCTTTTAGGAGCATGCTTTTAGCTGATAATTGCAGAATTATACAGCTGCTCTTTCCCACAGTGGTAAAAGCAAATGTAAAAATTCTGTCCATTTGTACTGACACTAAACCACCTGACTCAAGTGGCTCTTCACAAGGCATTATCATCACCTAACCTTATTGCTACCTAAGGTTAAAAAAAAATTATCTGATTTTTAAAATAGCTCAGTGTAAATCAAAGATATGGAAAAATTCATAATGTGAGAACCTGTAATTTTCTAGACAATTCTGTCTGGACTGTTAGAAATGGTGGTTTTATTACATGGAAAGATAACCAAAACAAGTTCCTTTGTTTTTCTAACCTTTCTAATTAGATACAGTCCTGAAAATTATCGTATTCCTGGCAAGCAAACCAAGTGTAATTTTCTAATTTAACAAAATTGGTTTGTCCTCTACTGACATGCAAGCACAATATTCTAAATAATTTCATTAATACTTTTAAAACTCTTTCCAATGAGAGAAAAATTTTGTTTGGAGACACTGCCACCAGGCAAAAATAAATCATCTCCAATACGAAATGAACTCCTTTAGCCCCAGAAACCTAGATCTGAAAATTCTCTATTCATCTCACACCATATTTGCAGTTCATTTCATTATCCCAGCAAAAAGGTTGGCAATTTAAACTGCCTGGTACAGCTGCAATTGATGGGGTCCTCCGTGACTGGTGAGGATTGGCATACACCGGACCAGTTGACAGCCAGCCAGCCATGGAGCTCAGTACTCCCCAGCCCCTCACACTCTGAATAGGCCTCCTTATTCTGCAGATTTCAAAACCCTGTAGCAGAACAAGTCCTTTCTTTCAGCTTGGTAACTCCTAGAATCATAGAATCATAGAATCGTCTAGGTTGGAAGAGACCCTTGGGATCATCGAGTCCAACCATCTACCCTACTCTACAAAGTCCTCCCCTACACCATGTCCCTTAGCACTGCATCTAAACGGCCCTTAA